AGGTAGAGGTAGAAAGACGAAGAGGTACAGAAGTGAGAGGAATGGATGAAACATAAAGAAGTATGAGACAAAGGGGAGAAGCCTCAAAGTCACACTTGGCATGATTGTGTTGTAATCAATCCATATCAAGAATGAGGTCAAAAGCTTGACTCGGCACCACCCGCAACAACTGCAACTCAAGCTCAAGATCGCCCACACGCACAACCAGGTCTGCTCATCTCATGCACATGCATGCGTACAACCATTGCCATAAAGAATGAAAACTGGATCTGCCGCATGATGCAAGTGTAGACGACAACGTGTGGCAACAGGTCGAGCAATAGAAGATAAACTCGAACCTATATCAACCAACACGGAGAGAATAATAGAAGACCTCTTGTTATAAAAACGAGTTTGGAAAGTAAACACTGGATGAACCGGTGCCGAGTGAACCCCTTGATGATACTTCCGAAAGAAAGATGGAAGTATTCACTAACTTATTCGCGCACAGTGGATGATGGACGAGGTTTTTTGTGATATGCCAGAGGTGACTACTGACTTCATTGATGATGTCTTGATTCAATCGGAGGGGACGTGGGAGGAGCACGTTCATGATGTTTGTAAAGTGTTGGATTGGCTACGTAACGTTGGTTTATAGCTGAAGCAGTCGAAATGCGTGTTTGGGTCTAGGGATACAACTTATCTTGGGTACCGTATTTCTCGTGAGGGTTTGCAAGTTGATCCTGACAAACTTGTGGCTATTCTAAAGTTCCTTACTCCGAAGTGTGTGAATGATGTGCAGCGCTTCTTGGGCAAGGTGCAGTATCTTGGTCATTTTGTGGATCATCTTTCTGATCGCATTGCACCGTTGCGAGCATTGCTGAAGTCATCAACATCATCTTTCATTTGGTCTCCGGATTGTGAGCGAGCATTCGGGGATCTTAAGAAGCTATTGATGACTCCTCCCGTTTTAGCATATCCTTACTACACTCGACCTTTTATTTTGCACGTGGATGCTTCTGACATTGATCTTGGAAGTGCATTGATGCAAGAAAGCTCGAGTGTGCCTGGTCAGTGCCATCCTATTGTGTATATAAGCTGTACATTACAACCAGCGGAAATGAACTACTCCACAATAGAGAAGGAGTGTTTAGTAGCAGTTTGGGGTTTCGAGAAACTTCATGTATATCTACATGGTTCTCGGATGTTACTTGAAGGTGATCATGCTGCTGTTACTTCATTATTGAAACGGAAGAACCTGGTTGGTCATATTGCTCGATGGGCTTTGAAGCTTTAGATATATGATTTTGATGTTGTTCATCGCCTAGGGAGTTCTATGATTGATGCTGATGCCCTTTCTCGAGCTCCTCTTCCTTCTCCATTCTCTTCTCATGTTTTTGATGAGGCTGTTGTTCCAGCCTCTGTGGATTTTCTAGACGAGGATTCTGTGCCGTCGACGGTTGCTGTACTTGACGTTTAATGTCCATAAGGTGAAGAGCAAGATCTACCTTCTCTTAATGAGGTTCGCGAGGCTCAAAAGGTTGAGCTGTGGATTCGAAGGCTTCGAGATGGGTTTGAGAATCCTGCATCACTTGCTAATGACTTGCCTTTCCGGCATTTACATTCTCAATATTGCCTTGAAGATGGCCTTCTTTATTTTATGGGGATGAATCCTAATGATCATTTACGGCTGGTGGTGCCTTCTATCTTTATTCTGCGGTTTCTCCATGCCTACCATGATTCTCCTGTTCTAGGTGGGCATATGGGACATCATTGTGTAATCGAGAAGCTACGCAGGTCTTTCTATTGGCTGGAGATGTGACGTGATATTATCCGGTATGTGTGTAGCTGCGTTTGGTGCTAAGCTTATACTCCCTTTCGGGCTGCGGAAGGACAGTTGGAGTCAATTGCAGTTTCCCGTCTGTTTGAATTGGTGGCGTTTGATCTTATAGGACCTTTTCCACGATCAACTGCTAGCAATGAGTATGTTATTATTGCTTTTGACTACTTGACTCGTTGGGTGGAAGTTGGTGCTCTTGCTAGCACCTCTGCAACTGCTGTTGGATACTTCTTCCTCAATCGAGTGGTGTTCCAGCATTCTTGTCCAGAGCGGATTCTTTCGGATAATGGTCCCGCATTTATGGCTGAAGAATTTTATATTTTGACGTCTTGGTTGGGGATACGCCACACTTTCACGAGTGCTTATCATCCACAATCAGACGGTCTGATGGAACAACTCGTTTGGACATTCAGGGGGATGATTGCGAAGTATATGAACTTTCAGCATTCAGATTGGGATGGTTAGTTGCCGTCTCTTTGGTATGCATACGTCACAGGGGTGCAGAGTTCTGTTGGTGCTTCACCATATAAACTCTTATATGGTCATGATCCAATATTACCAACAGAGCTAAGTTTACCTTCACAATTGCCCCGAGCTGCGGATGCTAGGTCATGGGATCAGTATTTGACAAGCATTCTTTCACTTGTCCAAGCAGAGTCTGCCAAACACTTAGGCCGCGTACAAGTGGGAGAACAACAACAGTACAACTCTCATCATCGTGCACCTATAGAGTACAAAGTGGATGATTTAGTGTTAGTCCGTTTTCCCCATCTTACGGTACGTGGTTTATCTAAGGGGCTCCTTGCACAGTGGAAAGGACCATATCGGGTGTTGTGGCAAGTTGGACCACAAGTTTATGAGGTTTGGCATAATGTCTAGCAGGCCGATCCTCCAGAGATTGTGCATGTGCAGCAGTTTAAACACTTCATACAAAGGGATCAGGAGCAATTAATACCACCTACAGATCCGCCGATGCCTCCTCCTGACGTTCCTCCAGATCCCAGCCCGTCTACAAGAGAACCCTGATAGTCTTCCATTATTCCAAGAGGAGGGGATGATGTGAGGGCCAAGTGTATGGCTACAATGCCGTATACTAATATTAGCGTAGTGGGATTTTGGTAGCCGTCGGATTGGTTTCAATCTAGACTACTCACTTTTGTATATAAACTAGGGTTTTTGAGCTAATTGATATGCACATTTCTATATTCCCTTTCCATATTCCAAACACTCACAGAGTGATTTAATAATAAATATATTCTAATTAATATTAAACAAGTCCAATCTCCGTACTACTCGAGCTTTGGGCCTCAACTTGGGTGAGAAGGGTCCATCCCTCTCCAGATGCATGTAGGCATTCGTTCACGGCCACAACCCTCACGATGTCCCCGAATTCTATGTCCATGTATCCCTGAAGAAAATAACCAGTCAAAAGTACAAGAAGAAAAACAATAATACCTGGTATCTCTTGAGGAAAGCTTGAAGTTCTCTCATCTTTGATTTCATTTGCGCGTGTTCGTTGCTCGCTATAGCGGCACTTACTTCCAAAGGGGAGTGTCCGATCATCCTCTCAACCAGCTGCAAAATCGGAGACTATAGTCTTGACTAAACAGAATTGAAGCTTTACCTTGTGGTTCACTAAAGCTTGCTTCCATCTTCGATATATATCGCCAGCCGGTATTCATTGCGATCATGGTTGGTCCCGACTGCGTTCGGCCGAAACCCCAACCGCCGCCGAATGCGGTTGGCCAAACGCGGTCGGACAGGTCCATTCAGTGATTCTGTTTGGCAAAAAAAATGGTGATCGCACTAGATTTCTGATGCTGCTGCGGCGAGGAGGGCATAGGAGCTGCGTGCGTACCTGCCTCTGCTTTCGATTGAGCGTGGAGCAGCGCTAAGGCCTCGCAAATCAAATCGCCCAATCTGCGACGCTTGAAGTTTTTGCCCTAAAATGGAAATTCAGTGATTCTAGAGATTTGATTGTAGAGATTCATAGCGATTCTGGCACAATTGAGCAATGGCGCCCAATTGGGCATGGTCCCATGTTACCAAGCTCACTCCTTATGCTTCTAGCAAAGGAGCTAGGCGTTGGAAATGTAATTATTGTGGTAAAATGTATGGGGGTCTGCCGAAATGCATCAAGGTGCATCTTGCTAAAGTTTCTGGGCATGATATTGAAGCATGTAGTGCTTCAAATGTTCCTCTTCATGTTCAGAACCAAGTTCGCCAAATGTTTGTGGACCAAATCGCAAATGCCCCTTCAAATGTAGAGATGCAAGCTAGGCTTAAATCTCTTGGTATAGAAGATTTAGCCGAAGAAGATCTTCCAAATGAAGATGTGATTGTTGAGAAAGATGCTGGAGATGTCGAGGGACTTGCCGAAGATGTTGAAGAAGATGAATAGTAGTTGGTTTGGTTTGGTTTAATGCTTTGGTTTGGTTTAGTTTGGTTTAATGCTTTGGTTTTCCTACTTTTATTAATGTGGTTTTACTAAAAATGTTTTTTTTTAAAAAAAAAAAATTTGTGAACCGTTCGGCCGTTCGGCATTTTCACAGCCGGTCGATAACCACAGTCGGGCAGTCAGGCGGTCGGCATTCAGAACGGTCGGGACCAACCATGATTGCGATCCTTGAAAAGGAACTCTTTCACGGCTGTAAGGAAACACTGTATCCAGAAAACGAATCGTGCTTTCTTTTTTCTTTTCTTTGTTACCTTAACTCGGCCTGATTGAACTACACCAGACTCCATAAACCGCCTCTGTAGAACCGCCAGATACGTAAAGGGAGGGGACTCCAGGCTGTCTGCGGCTGAAAAATGGACAGACATATGTCACGAAAATCTGAAGATCATAAAACTTACTGTGCAGTTGTCTTCTACTCCTGGTTTCATTGGATTGGAGGGAAAGCATACAAATACACGAAGTTCCCTAGCCGATAGAAGTCTCGGAAGGTGTGCCAGACGAGGTCCGATGCATAGTTTCGTCCTGTCCTGGAGGTGAACATCAAAAGAATTAGGCATGGAGAGAAAACCTGAAAGGCCTTCTTTGTATTTACTTGGTGTTTGTTCACTGTAGGAATATGAACCGCGAGAAAAATCTTCTATAGAAACAGGTGCTTGCCTTCCTGAAGACAAAAAAGTAGAGACAGAAAATCAAAATACAAGGATAGAAGAACGAAAGAAAGAAAGCAAACACAGTCACTGGATGATCACGAACAGTCGAAGAAGGTTGCTGCTCACTTCCAGGATTGGCTGCAGCGCCATTGTTTTCTTGGACGTCAGGAGTTCGGGGCCAGGCAGCTTGTGTAAGTTGCTCTTCCAACGATGGTGGAGTAGTACCACGCGGGTGCCTGCAAATATCCTTAACTAGTACACGAAGAAGAAAACTTTACCTGTTTCCCCGAGGAGGTTTGTTTACTTGATTTACCACTCTCTGTCGAGCCTCTTCAAGCTCTTGGACAACACCTCCTAGAACAGTAACAATTTCTGGGACGAGAAGAAACATCCCTCTCCGAATGCAGACATTCCTTACGCAAATCTGCGGTTGGGAGAAAGAAAAATCAAGGAAAAGACTTGAAAGGATTTCTTGAACGCGTACCTTCAAACCAGCTGGTTGTAACACTTTGAGCTGTGGGATAGGACGATACTCAATGCCAAAAACTCGTTGAGCACCGTCAGTCATGGATAGCTTCAAGCATCGACTTCCAATTCCAGCATTTCTTTCCTGGTAGCGATCCTTGAGGCCGCAGCAAATGTCCACCGTTTCATCTACCTGTGTGCCATGCTCCCATCGATAAAAAGAAATATAGAAAAACTTTCACTTACTTGTAGAACGAATGGGCCCGCTAGCTCCACTTTGTGCATCGCCTGGATCCCTGGAGGAAGCACAGCATCGGTGACGAGATTGAAATCGGCAGCGAGGAGCTGCGCAAAGCATTTCTCGGCGCACGAGTCTACCGGCAACTGTGACGCTCCCATCTGCTCGCGCAGGCAAGAAGAAAGCCACTGCGCCTTAGGACGGGTTCTAAGCATCCCGCCATTTTGCGAGCTTGAAAGGTTCCAGGAATATGCTTGCCAAGCAGGGTCGGCCCTTTGCCGCTCTCGCGCGCTCTCTTCTCTTCCAGATCGCGCATTGCGGCAATTCGATCCTGCGGCGTCGTTCCCCAAGACGCGCCACGGCGTGAGATGGGACGATCCCTGCCACTGGCTGCGGACGAATCAGCACGCGCAATCGACCATGGCTGGGACAAGGGAGCTGCAGCGCCAGATCCGCCAGGAAATGGCGAGTAGGATGGAGAAGGAGCTCGCGTCGCTGCCAGAGCGCTGGGGGGATTGGTGAGTTCTTCCTCGTTTTAATTTTTAGTTTTTGGCTTAGACGAAAAGCTTAGTGACAATGTAAGAACTATTTCGTGCAGATGGGAAAGAGTTTCCCATCTACTCAAGACAAAGAGCCCGCAAAGGTGGAAGGCTGAAGGCTTTCTTGACAAGTTTTTTCGACAAGAAGCAGAGTGAAGTGATGCTGCAAAGCACAGTAAAGTTTTGAGGATCTTTTCTTGTTTTGTTTCTCTCTTCTTCCTAATTACACAAGTGTAGGCCATGCGTAGCTTGGTGTTTTCAAGCTATCCAGAGACCACAAACTGTTAGCATACACAATCGACTTGGGTGGCAATGAGATTTTCACATTGTTTATCAAAGACTTGGAGACCAATAGCCTCCTCCTGGAACACAAAACCGATGGTGTAATAAGTGTGGAGTGGTGGAGAATATCTCTACTACACTTGTAGTTATTCAGCACATTGACCTCAGGTTTCTAGTTAAACTTTCTTCTAGAATAACTGTTTTGTTTCTAATTTATCACGACAACAATCCAAAGAACTTTGTCAATGTTACAAGAACCAAAAACTAGCAATACGTTTTGATTAATGTCAACTCGCAGACGCCCTCTGAGGTAATTGCCTGTTGCTCGAGCCTTTCTACAGGACGGGCTTTTCTGGGAGATCCAAAAACTTCAGGCACAATGTTGAGGAAAGTTACAGATAGATTTTATGATCCAGTATTTTCTGGTATATCCTTACCAATGTTTTGGGTTCTCGTTTTTCACAGCAAAGATCCCGTGGCATCGCTACCGTCCATCAGACATCATCCCAGCCGTCGATATAAACCCGTTTTGAAGAAGCTAGGTCTAGAAAGGTTGGGAGCGATGGCGCGTGACACCCGTGAGTTGAGCGAGGATGACTGTAGTGAGCTTCTCAAGTTTTACATGAGGGGCAAGCGGCTGGGATGTGGAGGACAAAGGCAAGTTTTCATGATCCATAATGGCCACAACACATATGCTGGAAAGTTGTTTCGATCGGGGAGTGATGCCGAGAGAGAAGCTCGGCTCATGTCCAAGCTTCACGCCTGCCCTAGGGTCGTTTCCTTGAAGGGCTTTGTCAGGGAGAGAGATGGTGCCAAGTGTTATGGCACTATCGTCATGGAGCTGTGCGGCCCAAACCTATGCGAGGGATTGATCAACTGCTGGCTGATGAGGGAGGAGGATGCAGTGAAGACCATCAAGAAGCTGGCTGAAACGCTCAAGGCAATCCACTCCAGGGGAATTATCCACCGGGATCTCAAGCCAGAGAACATTCTTGTCAAGCTCAATGCCACTGGTGTGCACGATGTTCTGATTGGAGACTTCGAGATAGCCACAGACCTGCACAGGGAGATGTCAAAGTATTGTGGCACGGAGAAGTACATGGCACCAGAGGTGATGGCGACTAAGGGTCGCAAGGGAGAATCACAGAGCTTCTACACGGCAGCCATTGATGTGTGGGGTTTGGGAGTCATTGCATACGAGCTGTTGAGGGGTTACAAGTCAAGAATGGAGATCGATTTCTTGAGAGCGAGAGCATTTCCAACTGGTTTTGGCTCGGACCAAGCGGAGGATCTCCTCCGGGGGATGTTAGCTGTCGAACCGAGCAAGAGGATAACGCTGGACTGTGTGCTTGCACATCCCTGGATCGTGAAGCATTGCAGCAGCAGTAGCAAGACCGAGATGGCGACACGGAGCAGGCGCTGTGGAGTGAAGAGGAGTCTTCCCAGCGGCAGCGACTTGATCGTGAAAAAAGCTCGTGCAGCTTAAGAACAAAAGCCAGCACCAGTTCGGTAAGCATCGTTTTTGATTGAAGAGTACAGGTACTAACTTTGCTTGCTTGGTCACCGGGTGGAATGTTTTTTGTGAGACAATGATCTTCTTGTCAAGAAAGATTTTCTATAGCAATGCAAGAACTGTCTTTGCAAGTTATGAAGTTTCTTTTCTATTCTCTTGATGGGAACAGTAAAATTCAATACAATGGAAGGGATCGCTGATGATCCTGGTGGCAAATTGGAAGAGCTTTAACTCGGGCAAGAAGCCTCCATCCATTTCCGGATGCACACGGGGACAACCCTATGTTGGAGGAGGTCCGATGCTGTTCTGAAGTGAAGATAAAAAGAATTACCCATGGAGAGAAAACTTGAAAGGCCTTCCTTGTGTTTACTTGGTGTTTGTTCACTGTAGGAATCCGAACCGCGAGAAAAATCTTCTATAGAGACAGGTGCTTGCCTTCCTAAAGACAAAAGAGTAGAGACAGATAATCAAAATACAAGGAGAGGAAGAACAAAGCAAACACAGTCACTGCGCAAAGTTAGACCTGATCAGGAAGAAGGTTGCTGCTCACTTCCGGTGCAGCGCCACTGTTTTCTTGGCTCATCAAGCTCCTCCAAGAACAGTAACAATTTCCGGGACGAGAAGAATCATCCCCCTCCGAATGTAGACATTCCTTACGCATTGGGAGAAAAGAAAAATCAAGGCAAAGACTTGTAATACTTTGAGCTGTGAATGCCAAAAACTCGTTGAGCATCATCGGTCATGGATAGCTTCAAGCTTGGACTTCCAATTCCTTCCTGGTAGTGATCCTTGAAAATGTCCACCGCTTCATCTATCTGTGTGCTATGCTTCCATCGATGAAAAGCTATAGAAACCTTCCACTTACTTGTAGAACATAAGTGCATTGCCTGGACCTCTGCGTCGGAGGAGCTGCGCGAAGCATTTCTCGGCGCGAGAATCTACCGGTAACTGAGACGCTCCGATCTTCTCGCCCAGGCAAGAGAGAACCGTACTAGGGTTCTAAACATCCCGCCATTTTGCGAGCTCGAAAGGTTCCAGGAATATGCTTGCCAAGCAGGGTCTAGGGTTTTATGGCGCTTTGCCGCTTCTCTCGCGCACTCTCTTCTCTTCCAGATCGCGCATTGCGGCAATTCGCTCCTGCGGCGCTGAGGAGATCGTTCCCCAAGACGCGCCACGGCGTGACATGGGACGATCCCTACCACTGGCTGCGAAATTCCGAGGATCCGGCCGTCATCGCGTATCTCCAGGCTGAGAATCAGCACGCGCAGTCGACCATGGCTGGGACAAGGGAGCTCCAGCGCCAGATCCGCCAGGAAATGGCGAGCAGGATGGAGAAGGAGCTCGCATCGCCTCCAGAGCGCTGCGGGGATTGGTGAGTTCTTCCTTGCTCGTTTTGATTTTTTTTTTTTTTTTGCCTAGATGAGGAACTTAGAAACAATGTAGGTACTATTTCGTGCATATCCCGCAAGGGAAAGAGTTTCCCATCTACTCGAGACGAAGAACCCGCCAGGGTGGAAGGCTGAAGGCTTTCTTTACAAGTTTTTTTGACAAGAACAGTGAAGTTATGATCGACATCAATGAGCTTGCTGCCGAGCATGGTAAAGTTTTGAGGATCTTTCCTTGTTTCTCTTTTCTTCCTAATTACACAAGTGTAGGCCATGCACAGCTTGGAGTTTTTAAGCTATCCAGAGACCACAAACTGTTAGCGTACACAATCGACTTGGGTGGCAACGAGATCTTCACATTGTTTGTCAAAGACTTGGAGACTGATAGCCTCCTCCTGGAGCACAAAACCGATGGTGTAGTAAGTGTGGAGTGGTCTGATACTGGAGACTATCTTTACTACACTTGTAGTGATGCAGGACATCGACCTCACAGGTTTCTATTTGAAGTTTCTTCTAGAATCATTTTTTCTCGATCTCAACAGGGTTTTGTTGCGGAACTTGCAATCTAAAGATGATGACATTGCAATTTATCACGACGACAATCCAAAGAACTTTGTTGATGTTACAAGAACCAAAAACTGGCAGTACGTTTTGATTAATGTCAACTCAAAGACGTCCTCTGAGGTAATTGCGTTTCACAAATGTGTTGCTCGAGCCTCTACAGGACAGGTTTTTCTGGTAGATCCGAAAACTTCAGCCACAACGTTGCGGAAAGTTGCAGATAGAGTTGATGGCATCCAGTATTTCGTGGAACACCATGAAGAGCACCTGTATATTCTTACCAATTTTTTGGGCGACAAGAAGCTAGCGTCGCTAGGAAACAACTATCGGCTTGTCCGCTGCAAGACAGATAGCTTGACCTCGAAGGCGTGGGAGGTACGTCAATTCTCGTTTTTTTCACAGCAAAAAATGAAACACTTTAGGAGGTTGTCCCAGTCGACAGCGAAAATTGGATGGAGGATATGGATATTTTTGCGAAGCATTTGATCTTATACAGACGACAAAATGGTCTTCCCATTGTGCATGTTTTCAACCTGGATGTAAGCATATGGTAAAAGTTTTGGTCTCACTAAGCTCTTTCCTTTCAGAGCCTGAAAACTCCTCCTTGGACAGTAAACCTTCCCTCCGGGATAACAGTTCTTACTCCTGGAGCAAACTGTGACTTCAATTCGTCTACTCTACGGCTGTCGATATCTTCACTGGTGGTAAGCTCTCTTTCTTTCTTGCATTAGATGTTCGTTGTGGACAATTCTTTTTTCGTTTTTAGATGCCCGAAGCAACGTATGATGTCGATTTGACGACTGGAGAGGTGACACTATTGCAGCAAGTGAAAATTGTGGGAGTGGACACGGGCTCATATTGTATGAAGCATCTTGCTGCTACATCTCATGACGGCGTTCGGGTGCCTTTGACAATTGTGTACTCAAACAAGTTCGAAAGGAAAGGTGAAAATTCCGCTTTGGTTACAGGCTATGGTGCCTACGGCGAGCTGCTTGACATGAGCTTCTCGAGTGACCGGCTGAGCCTTCTCGATCGTGGCTGGGTGCTCGCATTCGCTCACGTAAGGTGAAGTTTGCTTTTTGTTCCTTCCATGTCGTAACTGAGATTTGTGGAATCCAGGGGGAGTGGGACGTTAGGAAAGGCTTGGCACTCGGAAGGAAAGCTGCTGAAGAAGGAGAATTCGTTCAAAGACTTTATAGCTTGCGTGCGTTACTTGGTGGAAAATCAGTATGCTTCTCGCAACAAGATTGCTGCTTTCGGTGAAAGCGCTGGTGGACTTTTGGTCGGGGCAGCCGTGAACTTGCAACCGGACCTCTTTCGAGCTATAATTTTGAAGGTATGGCGATCATTGAATTGTGTTTGCTTCAAGAGCTCTATCTGCATGACAGGTTCCATTCCTTGACATCCTCAACACAATGTTAGACTCTTCATTGAGTCTAACAGAGCACGAGTATGACGAATGGGGTGATCCATCATCGGACAAGGCAGCGTTTGATTGCATCCGAAATTACTCTCCTTATGACAACATCAAGCCAGGCGTAAGGTATCCAGCGATGCTAGTAACCTCATCGTTCCTTGACACCCGGTACGTGTTTGAGAGCTCCTAAGTGCATTGATAAATTGTCGTTTCATACAGGGTTGGTTACTGGGAATCTGCTAAATGGATTGCAGCTCTTCGGCATTCTTGTCAAGCAGAATGTTTAGTCTTTAAGACCAATATGAGTGGGGGTCACTTCGGAGATGGCGGACGCTACTCTCATCTCAAGGAGACTGCTTATGGCTTTGCATTCTTAATAAAAAACTTGGAGGCAATCTAAATTCAAGTTTGCCGACAGAAATTCTTGAAAATATAATTTTACTAAGAAACAGCAGCATCAATTTGAATTTACTTATTAGATTTCATTAGAAACTTGACATAATTTTAGCTACCTAGTCTTATATAAATCTCAAAAGAATAGCCCAAGCAAAATATCATTTTTAAAGAATATGGCTGTATCAATTGCGTCTTGCTTTCTTCTTTGCTTCTTGTTTGCTCATGTAGCTGTGGGTCTTCTTGTACAATATAGCTCCACCACTGTTGAAAATGGCAACTTCATCTCCTTGAGCAGCACTGACTCAGCTCCCACTGTTGACATTCAAGGATTTCATGGGAATGGCAGTGTTAGCCTGTTTTCGGTGGTGATGGCGGATCAAAAGGCACTCTCGACTCCAAACAAAACTTATCCTTACGTCAACTTTTGGATTGCAAACATTCCAGCAGGCACCTCTGGCAAGTTCTCTTTTTTCATCTTTAATTGATAGATTGGATTTGTGGTTTTTGTTTGTAGGAGCTGTGAAGAGTAACATTCTTGAGCCTTATGTATCTCCTTCCAACACTGGCAAGAATATCCCATACCCAAATCCATTCAACGCCAAGAACCACACATATGATTTCGTGCTCGTTCCACAGAGGAATCCCTTGGTGAAGCCCATGCGTAGTCGCATTGTTCTCTCACTGCCCGATATCATCCAACAGTACCACTGTGGAAGTCCCCTCCAGACTGTCTCCTTCACCACCTCGCTCAACTAAATAATTAAAGTTGCTATTGATTATCAGCTACTTGGCATTAATAGAAGTGGATCTTGTGTGATTGCCCTACAAGAGAGATTTTTTTATCCTTACACAAGGAAAACGTGGTTTTAAACATTAGCATTTGTGATTGACCTCAAATGCTATTTTTTGTCCTTACACAAGAAAACGGGATGGACCATCTTGTCTTCTACAGTAGATTAAAAAAAAAAGAATGTTAGTCTAGTGTGTGGTGGTCCTAACCACCTTTTTAATTCCAACGTACGATACATGAAAGTTTCCTCTGTACAAAAGTCCAACGAAAAGCCTGGCTTTCGGAACGCGATAGTTTTTTGTCGCTTGGCTTCAATAATTTGCACAACCAGTCCTGAAACATTCAGTAGCCAAATGAATCAGTGCATAAAAAATGGATGCTTACGTTAATTACTCGCGACTACCACCACCATATAGCTTCTTCTCAAACATGGTTTCATATGGTAAACTGCCCCTTGGACGCCGCGGAAGTAGCAAACAACCAGCTGCTTACTGCCTCGGCACTTGCATTGCCTCGCCCGTGATGGCTGTCTTCGCAACTGATCGGGAAACGAGCGTGCTTCGCCTGGGAGCTCGAGCGATGCCCAATGATCATATGCTCCACATTCTCGAGCTCCGATCGGCTGAATCCATACTCCATGATGCAGTCGCTCTCGTGAAGATCGGCCGTGGAGTGCGAGTGCTTTGCTCTATTCGCTTGCTTAGCCTCGGTGAGCTTCCGTGTGGCCTTTGCCAACCGCTCGTTCGCCTCCTCGAGCCTCTGCGAGTGGAGCTCGTCGGAAGCTCTGAACTGGTCTTGGAGATCCGTGACTTGCTGGAGCAGCACGTCTCGCTGGTGGCACACGGAGCGGTAGTCCTGCTGGAGCTGCGCGTACCTCGCGGTGAGCTGATCGAAGTCGAGAGAACGCTCCGGGGTCTCGAGCTGGGCCACCGCTTGCTGGGCTTGCCACAGGGACGAGATGAGCGCTTCCTTTTGCTGGATCACGGTCTGCTTCATCTGCTTCAAGATCCCGTCCACGGCGCTCAAAACCTGCTTCTGCTGCATCGAGCAGAAGGTGAGATCTCCGCCTCTGGAGCCGCCGGACGATTCACCGAAGACAAACTTGGAAGAAGGCAGCGACGACGACGAAGAACAAGGCCTGATGGCCACCTCTCGAAGCTCGTCACCCTGACGTAGCGTTTCCACGATCAAATCCTCGTCCGGAGTTCCATCCCGCTCGTTGGACCTGTCCTCCCACGACAATCTCTTCCTCTTTCCCGACTGCTCGCCAGTGGTGGCGAAGCGCATCGTCGGCTGCAAATCCACCCCTGGAAGATCGAAGTGGTGCTGGAGAACCATGCTCAAGTAGTGAGCGGTGGTGACCGGCTTGCCTTCCTTGAGCTCCTTGTGCATCTTGAGCACCACGAACTGTGCCCAGTTGAAGATCTTCTTGGTGGAGCGAGTGGCACAGGCCGGATAGGCGGTGGCTCCACTCACCCTTTGATTGTTGAGACGAAGCCCAATCCTCTTCACCAGGAACTCGAGGTAGACGCGCATGACGTGCTCTTTCACCTCGCACAGCTTCCAGCCACTGGCCTGGCTATGGCCTTTCTCGCTGAAGTACTTCTGGATCTCGGGGCCATGGAGCTGGGAGTTATACTCGGTGGGGATCTCTTCCAGATCGGAGCCGTAAGGGAGGCACAGCGCCTCGCCGACGCTCTTGTCGCTCAGCTCCATGCTGCCAAGCTCCGGGACGTGGATCGTCTTGGACTCGGAGTCATACCCTTGCGTCGCCTTGCGGACGAGCTCCACATCCATGGCCTTGAGCTTGAGCTTGATGAAATCCACCAGGCCTGTCTCCTCGATCCACGCCGCCTGGGGCGTGAAGAGATCGTCCCACATTTGGGGCTTGAGGAAGCGCCATGGCTCCATGGCGGGAGGACACCCCGTGGAGTGGAGAACCCTACCTCCGCATTGTGAAAATGCCCCAGCGGAGCTCCAGATCTCCTTGCCTGGCGCGGCGATTCGCGGATTAGCACCGCATTGGAGGAGATTGGTGGATGGGCGAGAGCTCGCTCCCAGCTCCACAAACGTGGGAGGAGAGAGAAGAAGAATTAACCTAAAATTTCTGTTCCCGCGTAACAAGATAAAAAGCATATACCTTTACCGTCTGCCCTAAAGGTAGTCCACGGACCTTGTCGGTTTAGCAAGAAGCCAAAGAGGTTCGGTGGCCGAGGATGGATTGTCCTCGCACGCCTCTCCTTGGATCAAGCTCCATTTCCAATGGTCATGGTTCGTCTTGGAAAGATTCGCTCTTCTTCTCGTGGCTCAATCCTCTGCTCGCCACCGGCGCCAAGAAGCCACTCCAGCGATGCGATGTTCCAGCGCTGCGCGACCAGGACGACACCGCCGAGAGAACACACGCGGGATTGATCCAAGCGCTATCCAAGGTAGGAGACGATCACACCCCCTCGAGCCTCTTCTGGGCGATCGCGCGATGCCACTGGCGGGAGATCTGGCGCACAGGAGCGCTGGCACTGGTGAAAACCATCGCCATCTCTTGTAACCCACTGTTCCTCCGCTACTTCACGAGATTCGTTGCTGCTAGCAATGGTGGCGGTGGCTTGCCGGGGAGAACAAGAGGCTATCTTCTCGTGGCCGCCCTCTTCTCCGCCAAGATCCTCGAATGTCTGTCACAGCGACACTGGTTTTTTGGCGCTCGCCGCCTGGGCCTTCGCCTTCGATCGTCGCTCGTCGCCGCCATCTACGCCAAGGAGCTCAAGCTCTCGCATCAATCCCGCCAGCGCCATGCCAGCGGCGAGATCGTCAGCTACATCTCTGTGGATGCCTATCGCCTGGGAGAGTTTTTCTGGTGGTCTCACCAGCTCTGGACGGTTCCACTCCAGATCTCCATCGCTCTCGCCATCTTGGTCTCCACTGTTGGCCTGGCAACGCTCTCGGGGCTGCTCGTCATCCTCATCACCGCCGCCATCCAAGCTCCACTCGCGAAGATCCAGCAGCGAAACCAGTATAACTTGATGGTTGCCCAGGATCAGCGATTGCGAGTGAGCAGCTCCATTCTCTCCAGCATGAAGATCATCAAGCTCCAGGCCTGGGAGAGATACTTCCAGCAACTTATCGAGAGCTTTCGTGCTCGAGAGTATGCGTGGCTCTATGGAGTGAAGCAAATCTGGGCTGCCGGGAGCGTCATGTTTTGGATGTCTCCGGTCGTCACCGCCTCGGTGGTCTTCGCGACTTGCATCCCTCTCTCGATCAAGCTCGATGCCACACTCGTGTTCACAGTGCTCGCCACCTTTCGGGTGATTCAAGAGCCCGTGAGAAATCTCCCCGACGTTCTTACCGCGATGATCCAAGCTCGGGTGTCGCTCGAGAGGCTCTCCAAGTTCTTCCAGGACGCGGAGCTGCAAGAGGACGCAGTGGAGAGGGATTTTTTCTCGCGGCAACACGACGTGATCTCTATTGACTCGGCCACCTTCGCCTGGGAAGAAACTGGAAAGTTCTCTTTGGCGGATTTGAGCTTGAAAATCACGAGCGGAGAGCTCATCGCAGTTTGTGGTGCTGTTGGATCTGGAAAATCTACACTCTTGCATTCGATTCTTGGAGAAGTTCCAAGATTTTCTGGCAAGGTACTTATCTCGTTTTGCTTTTCGACAAGAACGCTTGTAAACCACCACTTTGTAGGCCAAAGTTTGTGGAAGCATAGGTTACGTCTCGCAGACCGCTTGGATCCGGAGTGGTAGCGTTCGAGAGAACATTTTATTCGGGGAGGCCATGGACAAAACTTTCTACGAGCGAGTGATCAAGGCTTGTGCTCTCGAGGAAGATCTCGCAGGCTTCTCTCACGGGGATTTAACCGAGATTGGTGAGCGAGGACTCAACTTGAGCGGGGGGCAGAAGCAAAGGCTCCAACTCGCGAGAGCTTTGTACGCGAATGCGGAGATTTATCTTTTGGACGATCCTTTTAGCGCTGTTGATGCTCAAACTGCTGCTACGTTGTTCCAGGCAAGTCTAGTTTCTTTTTAGCTTCTCTTTGAGATCTTTGACAGGCATGTATACTCCAAGAACTGAGGAACAAAACAGTGATATTGGTTACTCACCAAGTGGAGTTTCTTTCATCAGTGGACAAGATCCTGGTATGTTTTGCCGTCAACTTCTCTGACAATCGATTATCAATTCTTTTTCTACGATTCAGGTGATGGAGTCTGGACGCATTGTCCAGTCCGGGAGCTACCAAGAACTTCTCATCAGCTCCGGGAATATTTTTTCGAGGCTCGTGAACGCTCACGAGGACTCTTTTATCTTCCAAGTTCATCACACCAACAGCGAAAGCCATCGCCACGAAACTTATCAAAGACAGCTCTCGAAGTCGAGCGAGAACAAAACTTCTTACCAACAATTGATCCAGGACGAAGAGATCGCAGCAGGGAACCTGGGACTAAAACCATACCTCGACTACATCGACGGAAGTGGTAGTCGATCTTTGCTGGGATTAGTGCTCGTTTTCCAAGCTCTCTTCGTTTTTGGAGTGCTTTCGAGCAACTATTGGCTGGCCACACAAGTTGCGAATCCCAACACGAGCGTCCAAACTTTGATTGGGGTTTTCACAGCGATCTCCTTCGCCAGCACTGGACTTGTCTATGCCAGAGCTCGATTCCTTGTTAGCATCGGCTTGCGAGCTTCTCGGGCCTTCTTCTCGGGTCTTATAAACTCGCTCTTTCGTGCACCCATGGCGATGTTTGATTCAACTCCGCTCGGGAGGATTCTCAGCAGAGTACGCTTCCTTTTCTTCTTTTCTTTTTACTCAGTGTTCATTGTTTCCAGGCTTCGTCGGATATGAGCATTTTGGACGTAGAAGTGCAAAGCTACTTCAATTTTTCCTTATCGGGATTGTCCGAAATGGTCGGAATGGTGGTGATTATCACGCTCGTCACCTGGCAAATCCTCTTTGTAGCCATTCCAACCCTCGCTATTCTTTGGAGAATCCAGGTTCGTTTTTCCTTCGTTTTCATATGATCACCTCTTTGATCTTACAGAGGTACTACTTAAAAACTGCTCGGGAACTCGTCCGGATCAACGGGACGACGAAAGCACCGGTTCTAAACCACACTGGAGAAACTGTGAATGGCGCCGTCCCTATTCGAGCGTTTAGAAAACAAAGCATGTTTACGCGAGAAAACATGAAACTCGTCAACTCGGATGCTTCGGTTTCTTTGCACACTTACGCCGGATACGAGTGGCTTTCCCTTCGAGTGGAGTTTCTTGGGACGATCGTGCTTTTAACTGCGGCTTTGCTCGTAGTGATCTTTCGAGATCAACTCTCCTCCGGTATGATAGAAAAAGACTTATTTTTTCAAGGTTTCCTTCTGTTTTGTGTATGTTCTTTGTCAGGTTTTGCTGGTCTCTCTCTCACCTATGCGTTTGCTCTAAATGGCTGCCAAGTTTTCTTGATCCAAGCCGTAAGTTACTTATCGGGCTACATTGTTGCTGTGGAGAGAATAAGCCAGTATATGAAGTTGCCAGAGGAAGCTCCTTTGGTTATCAAATCAAATCGACCACCAGCGGAGTGGCCTGCGCATGGAGAAGTTGAGCTCCAAAATTTACAAGTAAGAAAAGATAAACCCATCATGATCATGCTAACATGTTTTTCCTATAGATTCGATACAGAACCAACAGTCCTTTGGTGCTCAAAGGAATCTCATGTATGTTTCCCGGAGGCAAGAAAGTTGGACTTGTTGGACGAACTGGAAGTGGCAAGACGACGTTGATCAGTGCCTTGTTTCGCTTGATTGAGCCCGACGGTGGTCGGATCCTTATCGATCGCATTGATGTCACAACCATCGGACTGTTTGATCTGAGAACCCGGATTGGAGTCATTCCTCAAGAAGCTTTCTTGTTTCGAGGAACTGTACGCTCGAACTTGGATCCACTGCAGCAGTTCTCGGACGAGCAAATCTGGCAAGTAAGTCCGGTTGATCGAGGTTTTTTTTTTTCGCTTAGAACTCTCACAATTATCACAGAGCTTGCGAAAGTGTCAGCTTTTGAAAGCTGTGAAGGAAACCCCAAAGCAGCTCGACTCACTCGGTATGAACACTTCTCCTCCTCTTTTTTTGGTCTCTTACTTGAGTGGTGGGATTTTCAAGTGAGCGATGATGGCGAGAACTGGAGCGCTGGGCAGAGGCAGCTCTTTTGCCTGGCTCGGGTTTTGCTCAAACGGAGCAAAGTTCTCGTCCTCGACGAAGCTACTTCGTCGATCGATTCCACCACCGACGCTGTTCTCCAGAAAGTTATAAGGGACGAGTTTAGCGACTGCACAGTGATCACGGTTGCTCATCGAATTTCCACTGTTATAGACAGTGATCTCATTCTCGGCCTCAAAAATGGTAAGTCGGGGAAGCAAGCATCTTTTTTCTTATCTTTTTTCGCAGGATACATGGTTGAGTGTGATTCTCCTCAAGCTCTGCTTGACAACCAAAACTCTCTCTTTGCAAAGCTGGTGGCGGAATACTGGTCAAGTTGTGATAAGTGAATCGCAATACTTTAGCGCCAAAGGTAATATCAATTAGTCACCAACTTTTAGCACCACCTTTCTAATATAGTAAGAGTTTGATTTTTAAAAGTCTATTACTTTAATCACAATGTAGCTCAATTTGTCAAACAAACTACATGTTTTTACTTGTTAGCTAAGAAATATTCGAAGCTAGAAAGGCTTCCTTGCTGCTACCTGTGGAGTTGCCCCTAATGGATTCCAGAGCACTAACCGTTCTTGTCCTCAGCTTGGTCACAATTGACCATTTCCCCAATTGCGGGAATTCTCAGTGCGATCGAGCTCATCACCTCAAAGAATGCGTTCCCAGTGTAGCATCTGGCACTGTTCTTGAGCATCCAGACATGAACTGCTGCCAAGCGGTGAATGTTCTAGGCTACAATTGTTTGTGTTCTCTCATTGTTTCTTCTACTGGTGTTCTTGCAAAAGAAATGATGAAGAGATATGTTGAGTCATGTCAACTCAAGCTCCCAGAGGATTATCAATGTAAGTTCTATGATCAAAGTATTTTGTAGTCACTGAATGTGCATGCTAATGTTCTTTACAGGCGAAACCATCATGGAGCATTTGTTTTCAGTGGCATTCAAAAGTGTATATAGTTGTATATGTATTTATATGCAAGTTGGTTCTTTAATTATTACGAAAGTAAACTAGACAATTTGATTCACTAAAAACTTGCATAATTTATCGTTTTATATAAATCTCAAGGTATCATTTAATTTTCTAGTGGCGGATTCACTGGTGTCTTGGCTCGTTCTCTGCGCCTTTCTGGTTCCAGTTAGCGTGGGTTTGCTTGTACAATATGGCTCCACCACTGTCGGGAATGCCAACTTCATCTCATTGAGCAGCACTGGTTCTGCCCTTGCAGTTGATATTGAAGGATATGGGAAGAATGGCACTGTTCGTTTGTTCTCAGTGGTTATGGCTGCTCAAATAGCATCAACTTATGGATTGCAAGGTAACTTCAACTTATTTGTTTTGGTTTTAAAATTTGATGATGGTGGCTTGGTACAAGAGCTGTAAAGGGCAGTATTTTGGAGCCTTATGTATCTCTCAACCCAAATCCATTCAATGCAAGGAACCACACTTGTTTGTGCCACAGAAGAATCCCTTGGTAAAGCCGATAGTCGACTTGTCAACTCACTGGCTGATATCATCCATCAATACCACTGTGGAAGCCCTCTCCAAACCGTCTCCTTCACGCATTGATGTTATTTCAAAGATTTTCGTTATCAAGATCAAGTAGTAAGTGATTCCATTTATGGAAAAAGGCCATCTTTGGCTTTTGTAGGTGAATAGCGGAGTATACACGATGCAATTCGTGGCAGATCTTCTTCTTGAGGCTGTCCGTAATCGATCTCTGCCAGGCGAGGTGCGTGTGCCGCAAGTGGCGACGAACAATCGACGATCCCAGATTCCGCAAATGGTACGCACGCCACCGCTGCATCCCTCACTTCTGCCTCACGGATGCCTCTTCGTCAAGCTGGTTGAGAATTCCCCGCGCAGCGAGTGGCGCCTCTTCCAGACGCTGCCGGTGGGCGTGAGGATCGCCAGCAGCGACACCGGCTTGCTGTGCATGGCCAAGTTTTCGTACTTATCCTCCATCTTTGTCTGGCGCTACAGCGATCTCAACTCCTTCCTTTGAAAGTTCCTTTGCCGCCAGTTCTCAGCAGCTTAACTCACATGGTGGTGTACAGCCGCGAAAGGGATCGATTGTTCTGTTTTGCACCCTCGTTATACATCTACGACTCGGCTCGAGGCGAGTGGTCCAGGCACGAAGAATGCCTAGGAAGACCTGAATATATCAGAGCGCAGAAGGTCTTCTATCCGGTGCTGGATCACGGTAAGGTGGTGACGTATTGCACGAATCCCCAGACGTTTGCAATATACAACCTGTGGGAGGGCTCCTGGAGAGCTTTTCACGTTGATGCCAATGGGTTGGAGCTGGAATTTTATAGGTGGTGCTACCTTCAGCTGGATCGGGACCAGCTTTTGATGGTGAGCAATACCTATGAGGGACTGATCATCTTTGAGAGACAGGGAGAAGAGTGGGTCACGCCGTGACAAGGAGTTTCATGATCTGTCGTTGATGGACAACTTGGCATGCGATGGGAAGGACAGTATATGGCTGGTGGCCAGGTCGTGTATTGTGCACTATGGAGTCGATTCCAGGAAGTGGCTCTCCTGTTAAATTCTTGTTTTCACTCCTAGGATTTCTCGAGCTTCTCTGCAGCTAGAGCATGCCTTGAAACCATGACAAGATCCGGCCCACAACCTTCTTGCACGTGTGAGAAGAACTTCAAGAGAGACAGAATGCCATCTTCACAACTTCCATATCATTTAAAAGGATTGAGTGATGGAGTGAGAGGTTAAGAGTTTTGTTTTCTATTATGATGCTGAATCGTACTTAATCTCTCCATTGTTATTACTCATCTCATCTTTATAGTCAAACTCAAAAGCTCCAATGCCGCGCAGCCGTCAAGCCAGAAAACAGTATTTAATCTTCATTGGAAACACATATTTTGTTTATGGTGACCCCAAAGGGTGAACCTTTATTTCTCCATGATGAAAAAGGAGAACTTGGCAAGAAATGCAATTATTGTGGAGACGAGACAAGCGGATATTAGCTTGATTTGTAAAAGTCTTACGTTGATCACATGTAATTTGTCAAAGAAGCTCATGTTTTACTTGTTAGCTAAGAAATATTCTGAGCTCCTGCTGCTACCTGTGGAGTGTCTCTAATGGATTCTAGAGGACTAAAGGTTCTTGTCCTCAGCTTGGTCGCAATTGGCCATTTCCCCAATTGGGAGAATTCTCGCTCATCTCCTAAAATAATGCATCCCTGTGTGTCTGGCACTGTTCTTGAGCACTGTTCTTGAGCATCCATGCTGCCAAGCAGGCTACAATTGTTTGTGTTCACTCATTGTTTCTTCTACTGGTGGTCTTGCAAAAGAAATGATGAAGAGATATGTTGAGTCATGTCAAGTTGAGCTATGATCAAAGTATTTGTAGTCATTTGTTTTCAGTTGTATATGTATTTATTTGTTCTTGGTAAGACAATTTGATTCACTATTTTTTTATAGAAAACTTGCACAATTTATCAAATGCATCGACAGAATTAGGTGTTGCATTTTATATAAATCAAGGAATAAATGCTCATCAATTCATCAATCAATTTTCTAATGGCAGCTTCAGTGGTGTCTTCCCTCATTCTATGCTCCTTTCTGGTGCAAGTTAGTGTGGGTTTGCTTGTACAATATGGCTCCACCACTGTTGGGAATGGCAACTTCATCTCATTGAGCAGCACTGGTTCTTCCCCTACAGTTGACATTGAAGGTTATGGGAATCTTTTATGTTCTCCAGCATAGGGTTGTGGCCGTGAACGACTATCCGGAAATGGATGGAGGCTTCTTGCGCGAGTTGAAGCTCTTCCAATTTGCCGCCAGGATCATCAGCGATCCCTTCCACTATATTGAATTTGACTGTTCCCATCAAGAGAATAGAAAAGAAACTTCATAACTTGCAAAGACAGTACTTGCATTGCCATAGAAAATCTTTCTCGACAAGAAGATCATTGTCTCACAAAAAAAATTCCACCCGGTGACCAAGCAAGCAAAGTTAGTACCTGTACTCTTCAATCAAAAACGATGCTTACCGAACTGGTGCTGGCTTTTGTTCTTAAGCTGCACGAGCTTTTTTCACGATCAAGTCGCTGCCGCTGGGAAGACTCCTCTTCATTCCACAGCGCCTGCTGCGTGTCGTCGTCTCGATCTTGCTACTGCTGCTGCAATGCTTCACGATCCAGGGATGTGCAAGCACACGGTCCAGCGTTACCCTCTTGCTCGGTTCGACAGCTAACATCCCCCAGAGAAGATCCTCCGCCTGGTCTGAGCCAAAACCAGTTGGAAATGCTCCCGCTCTCAAGAAATCGATTTCCATTCTCGATTTGTGACCTTTCAACAGCTCGTACGCAATGACTCCCAAACCCCACACATCAATGGCTGCCGTGTAGAAGTTCTGTGATTCTCCCTTGCGGCCCTTCCTCGCCATCACCTCTGGTGCCATATACTTTTCCGTGCCACAGTACTTTGACATCTCCCTGTGCAGGTCTGTGGCTATCCCGAAGTCTCCAATCAGAACATCGTGCACACCAGTGGCATTGAGCTTGACAAGAATGTTCTCCGGCTTGAGATCCCGGTGGATAATTCCCCTGGAGTGGATCTCCTTGAGCGTTTCAGCCAGCTTCTTGATGGTCTTCGCTGCATCCTCCTCCCTCATCGGCCCGCAGTTGATCAATCCCTCGCATAGGTTTGGGCCGCACAGCTCCATGACGATGGTGCCATAGCACTTGGCACCATCTCTCTCCCGGACAAAGCCCTTGAAGGAGACGACCCCAGGGCAGGCATGAAGCTTGGACATGAGCCGAGCTTCTCTCTCGGCATCACTCCCCGATCGAAACAACTTTCCAGCATATGTGTTGCGGCCATTATGGATCATGAAAACCTGCCCTTGCCCTCCACATCCCAGCCGCTTGCCCCTCATGTAAAACTTGAGAAGCTCACTACAGTCATCCTCGCTCAACTCACCGGTGTCACGCGCCATCGCTCCCAGACCTTCTTGCTGAATGGAAGACCTAGCTTCTTCAAAACGGGTTTATATCGACGGCTGGGATGATGTTTGATGGACGGTGGCGATTTCATGGGACAAGGCCAAGTAGTGACGCTAGTGTCTTCTCGCCCAAAACATTGGACTCTATCTGTTTGGAGATAAGCCATCCGGATGAGGTGGGAGGATACTACCACTACACCAGCTGCGCTTCACCATGGAAAAACCTGAGTTATACGAGGCAGTGACAAAAATTTCTCTAAGTTCTGCTATAAACTAAGTCGTCACAAAACGTTTGGTCTTATGAGCTCGATGCTTTCAAAGACGAGTTATATGTTCCTGGATTGCTGTGTTGAATCATGTGTTGGATTATTAAACTTGTTGCCACAGGCCGTTGGCGGTGGCCTGTGGTGAGCTCTTCCCTGATTTTTGTTCTAGTCGCTTTGTTTCCTTTCCTGGTCTCAGAGTGCCGAATTTTGTGAATCTCATTCATCGCAATGCAGGTCCTTTCGATCGATCATCCTCATGAT